TAAAGATTTTATTTATTTGATAGAGACACAGCGAGAGAGGAACACAAGCAGGGGGAGTGGGAGAGGGAGAAGCAGGCTTCCCGCGGAGCAGGGAGCCCGACGCGGGGCTCAATCCCAGGACCCTGGGATCATGACCTGAGCCAAAGGCAGACGCTTAACAACTGAGCCACCCAGGCATCCCAAGAGAGCACATCTTTTGAGACAGTCCAGGGACCTCGGAAAAATCCCATAGTTCAAGGTCAACAAGACTTCCTTTAGAATTTGACTTTTGGGATCCAACCAAGGAACCCTGGGGAAATAATACCTAGCTCTCCATTTAATCAACATGACAATGAAAGGCTTCAAAGGCAAATCAAGAAAGTTACATAGTTTAAAAAAAACAAACAACAACTTAGTTCTTTTAATAGAGAAGACTCTATTTTCTTAAGGAATCAAAGACCTGATAGAGACAACAGGAGGCACAGGAAATTATTGTGATAAAACACAGAATCTGTCTTCCTGGCAGATGAGTTCAAAGGCTTTTATTTTTATTTTTTTAAGATTTTATTTATTTATTTGACAGAGAGAGAGCACAAGCAGGGGGAGCAACAGGCAGAGGGACGGGGAGAAGCAGGCTCCACGCTGAGCAGGGAGCCCGATGCGGGGCTCGATCCCAGGACCCTGGGATCATGACCTGAGTCAAAGGCAGACGCTTAACCGACTGAGCCACCCGGGCGCCCCTGGATGAATTCAGAGGTAAAGAAAAACCTTTCATAATCCCATCAAGAAAGACCAATAGTCCAAGAAAGCTTTGTCCTTTTACCAGACAAAAGAAAATTTGCGATTGTGTATATGTACATTATTGATATTAAAGGTTATTCTTCTGTAAGCCAATTAAATAGAGCCCCTTTACAAGTTAATTTTGGCAGCACCCTCAGAGGTAGGGAGACATCGCACATACGGAACCCTCGTCTGTAGACATCCGGAGACACACAGACACGGACGCCCCAGGGCTTTCCCTCCCAACCACCGGCCACGAACCAGGTGCAGCAACGTAAACGCACTTGTTCTCGGAACAGCTGAGTCCGATTGTGTCTCCGGCAGATGGAAGGAGTTAGGGTTCCCGGCTCCCATGGCTAAAACTTTTACAAGTACTTGTGGATAAGATGTTTGGGATTGTCTTTGCCCTTGACCCACCGTGGTGGGCGAGGAGCCTCCGTGGTGGGGTCTGTGTGGTCGGAAGCCCCCTGCCCCTCCAGGGGCGGGCGATGGTGGGCAGCACCCAGTTAACCCAGGAGCCTCCATTTCAGACATGATGAGATTGACAACGTTGAGATGGGAAAAGAACACCAAGTTTTCTCCTAGGAGTTTTGGGGTATATTTCTGTATTATTGGAAGTCTGGGGTAATTACTATGTAAAATTCTCCTTGGTGCCGGGGTTCGGACGGCACGGGGCACTCACTCATGCGCTGTGATCACAACCCTCTCCCCTCCGCGCGCCTCACTTTCTCAGGGACCCAACCTGCCAGCGTCCCACTCAGGCTCCGTCGCGAGCCCAGGGGCCTCCCTGGGTGGCGGCTTGCGCCCTCCTAGCTTTGCCTGATGGCCTAAGAAGCCCCCCAGCATACTTGTCTGCCAGCCCTGAAGCCAGCAGAGTGGTGGGCGCCCACACAGCCTCCCCCTGCTCTCCGTCCAGCTTTCTAGCCGGAGTTCAGCCCCTAGCTGGGCCTCCGTGTCCCTCCGAAGGCCCCACAGGGGAGGCCAGCCCACCGCACGGCCCCGGGCTTCCCTCATGGGCCGCCGTGCACTGCGCACATTCTCCGGTGCGTTGGACCGGCCGCGGGTCTCCGAGCATCCCTCGCTCAGGCACACGAGGCAGCCCACAGGCGTCTCGCGGACGGGCCACCCCTCTCCACACAGAGGTCGCTGGGACGCCCGCGCCGATGCCCCCTTCCCGAGGCCCATCTCTCCCATCCTTCCTGGCGCCTCCTGAGATGAAAGTTTGCGCAGAGGCCTTCCTGGGCTCGGTCACCATGCCTGGGAAGACCTGAGAGCCTCCGCACTACCTCAAGGCTGCGTCCCTGGAGGCGGCTCCTGCCCTGGGAATGGGGGGCAGAGAGCACATCCCAGCGACCGGGCGGGGTGAGGGGCCAGGTCCAGGGGCAACCCGTGGTCACATCCTGTCCATGACCTCCTCTGACACCTGCCCTCCCAGTCACGAGTCCCTGTCAGACCTGCTGCCGCCCCCAGCCAGACTGGAAACCCGGGCTCAAGGACCACCGCGTTGACAGTGTTGGAGACCCTCCTCCATGTCCTTCTGGACACACCAGCAACGCCCGGCCCTGCCCGCTTTCTCCTGTGACCATCTTCTGATTGTGACCCAGGGGTCTCCTGTCTTCTGGCGGCCTAGCCTGTTCGCTCCCAAGTGGGGGTGAAAGCCTCACCCCTTGTAGGCCTTGGCAAATACTCCCTCATAGGACCTGCCCTCCCGTCTCCCTTGTCCTGGACCGCGGCTACCCAGAGACACCCTTGCACCCCGCTATCTAGTCCAGTCCAGCCACTGGTCTCTCCCACTCCCAGTGGCTGCCGTTTGGAAGGGTCCAGTGCAAAGCCCCCGAGGCTCCCCAGCTGTCCAGGGACCCCCATGCCTGCACCTAATCAGCTCCCTTGCTTCTCCCAGCTGTTGTCAACCTTTACTCAAACTCCCAGCTCCCCCGCCCCGCTGAAGAAAACAGATGTCCCCAGAAAGTCTCAATGCCCCTCCTGTCCCTGCCAAGACTCACCTCTCTCCACCTAGTCCCTGAGCAGAGAGTGTCCTCCTGCCCTCAGCTCACCCCAGCCCCTGGGCCCCAGATTCTGGCTCCCTCAGCCTGCACTGCGATCAGGCCCTTGCCTATCTTCACCTGCCCTGCACGGTGCTCGCCGGCCATCTCCACGGGCTGGGCTGTCAGGGGCACTAACACTGATCGGGCGGGGGCTGTTCAGACAGGTCCCCTCTGCACGAATTAGCTCATGTAAGCCTCATGACGACGACCTGTGAGCCCGGTTTTATCAGTCCTGCTTTCCAGACGAGAAAGGGAGGCCTGATTAGATTGCCAGGGCCGGCCCCCAGCACTCTCCAAACCTGTGGGGCGCACACAGTATGAAAGTGGCTAAAAACCCCCAAAGCGCAACCATATGCAAAGGGCCAGTGCACCCAGCTTTCCTAACTAATAGGGCACACGCACGCGCACATGGGTGGATTATTAGATGAAACAGCAAAGAACAAAGTAGTGAGTGAGACCTGGGGAATGGCAATGTCCCCTGGGGAGGGCGGCCTTAAACGGGTACTGCAGGATGGACCTAGTAGGGGTGAGGCAAGAAGGCTTTTGGGGTGGCATGAGTCAAGGCAGCGGAAGTCCCAAATGACCAACCGGGTGAGGATTTGGATGCACAGCCCTTGGGTTCCTGCAAGAAGGATGGTGATGAAGACAGCCTGGGGCCTGTGGGGGCAAAGACCACGCGCTGGGGTGACAGGAGGGCAGAAGCCTAAGGTGGCCTCAGCTCTGCCCAAAGAGATCACTCACAGGAAGAACAGATGCAATTCTAGGGTCCAGAGGACAAAAGCAGGGGCTGGGAGACTTAGGTGGCATGAATCCTGCTTTGACCCTTGACGAGCGGCGGTGGCAAGTGACCAACCCCGTGCCTCAGTGTACCCTTCTGTGAAACAGGGGTCAGAGGAGGGCTGCCTCCTCGGCTCCGGGAGGACTCTGCCGGTCAGAGCGCTGGGCCCAAGGCCCGGCTGCTCCATGTCCATCCCTGAACCCGCACACGAGCGCGCTTGGCACCCAGCGCCAAAGCTCCTCCGTCTGGGAAGCCCGCGCGCTGCCCAGGCCATGCATGCCTTGTGGGCAGCGTCTCTTGAACTCTCGGCCCTTCCTGGTGTCGGGTCGGGTGTCTGGGGGGCTGACTGCGGGCAAGGGGTGCATCTGTGGGGAGAGCGAGTGCCAGGACAGTGACCACCCCGGGGCGGGGCGGGGGGCACAGGGGGAGGCGCGGTGACTGCGGATGGGGGGTGATGACCACGAAGAGGGGGATGGAGGCTGCAAAGAGGGGGCGCGTATGGGGACGGTGACCGCAGGGGAGGAAGGTGGAGACCGCGGCCTGGGCCGCGTGGGGCCAGGGCAGGGGCGTGGGGGGGATGGAAGGGGGGAGGCGGAGACCGCGGGCGGGGTGGGGTGGGGGGATGGGGGTGCGGAGACCAGGGGCAGGGAGCGTGTGGGGGGGTGGGGGTCGGAGACCACCGGCGTGGGGCGCGTCTGGGGTGGGGAGGGGGGGAGAAGGACACCGCGGGCGGGGGGCGAGTCTGGGGGGGAGGCGGAGACCGCGGGCGGGGGCGCGTCAGTGGGGTGGGGGGATGGGGGTGCGGAGACCAGGGGCGGGGAGCGTGTGGGGGGGGTGGGGGTCGGAGACCACCGGCGTGGGGCGCGTCTGGGATGGGGTGGGGAGGATGCGGGGGAGGACACCTTGGGCGGGGGGCGAGTCTGGGGGGGACGGAGACCGCGGGCGGAGGGCGCTTCGGGGAGCTGCGGGAGGAGGGAGGCGGAGACCGCGGGCGGGGGCGCGTCAGTGAGGTAGGGGGATGGGGGTGCGGAGACCTCGGGCGTGGGGCGCGTCCGGGGTGGGGAGGTGGGGGGGAAGGACACCGCGGGCGGGGGGCAGTCACCCCCTCTACAGGAAACTGGCCCTTGACTCAGAGCGCATCCCCTGCGTCTCCTTGGCAACCAGCCTCGGCCCCACCCCGCTCTGCTCCTCGCGTCTAGAGGAAATGGGCGTGCGTGCGGTGTGCGCTTCCGGTACGAAGAGGGGCGGGAGCGATTGTGAACTGGAGGCGAGCAGGACCAATCGCAGGGGACGGCTGGCGAAGAGCCAATTGCCAGGGCCGGTGGGCGCGGGCGGGGGCGGAGTCTAAGGCGGGGCTGACGAGGCCGAGCCAATCGCGGCGACCCGCAGGGCCGGGGCGGGGCCGGCGCTGGGGCGGGGCCGGGGCGGGCCCGGGGCGGTAGCGACGGCGACGGCGACGGCGACTGCGGCCCCTTCGGGCGAGGTCTGGGGTCGGGGTCCCGGGTAGCGGCGGGCCTGGCCATGCTGCAGCTGCGGGACTCGGTGGACTCTGCGGGCACGAGCCCCACGGCGGTGCTGGCGGCCGGCGAGGAGGTCGGCGCGGGCGGCGGCGCGGTTGGGGGGCGGCCGGGCGCGGGCACGCCGCTGCGCCAGACGCTGTGGCCGCTCAGCATCCACGACCCCACGCGCCGCGCCCGCGTCAAGGAGTACTTCGTGTTCCGGGTGAGGCGGGCCGGGGGATGCGGCGGAGCGGTTGGGCCGGTCGGGGGGCCGGGGGGGCGGGGTTGGGGGTGCCGGAGGACCGAGAGTGACCCCACCCTCCTCCCGCGCAGCCCGGCACCATTGAGCAGGCGGTGGAGGAGATCGGCGTGGTGGTGCGGCCGGTGGAGGACGGCGACATCCAGGGCGTGTGGCTGCTGACCGAGTGAGCGGGGCGCGCGGGGGCGCGGGGACCGGCCGGGTGGCCTGTGCGCGGGGCGCGCCCGGTGACTCATCCCGTGTGCGGACAGGGTTGACCACTGGAACAACGAGAAGGAGCGGCTGGTGCTCATCACAGACCAGGCGCTTCTCATCTGCAAGTACGACTTCATCAGCCTTCAGTGCCAGCAGGTGGTCCGCATCGCCTTAAATGCGGTGGACACCATCTCCTGCGGAGAATTCCAGTTTCCCCCGAAATCGCTCAACAAGTAAGTCTGTTCAACAGCGAGCCGAGTACCAGGGCCTGTAGTCAGTCCTTCCAAAACCAGTTCTCTGGGTTGTCTTGGGTCTGCCATTTGGGGAAACATAAAAGCCTCAGCTTCAGATCAATAGAAGCAAGAGACTTCCAGACAGCAGGTGCATTAAAAGGAAAACTGGCACAAAAAGAAAGCTATTAGGCTTGTAGTAAAATGAATTTGAGGTTGGTCCATGGAGGCAGACCTGACGTGGCATTCTTTTTTTTTTTTTCTTTAAAGATTTTATTTATTTATTTGAGAGAGAGAATGAGATAGAGAGAGCATGAGAGGGGGGAGGGTCAGAGGGAGAAGCAGACTCCCTGCCGAGCAGGGAGCCCGATGCGGGACTCGATCCCGGGACTCCAGGATCATGACCTGAGCCGAAGGCAGTCGCTTAACCGACTGAGCCACCCAGGCGCCCCGTGACGTGGCATTCTTAAGATGGGGGCCAAACTCAGCATTTTACCTCTGGCCAGGAAAGGATTACACGGGTCACGTCAAGCTCTGCTCTAGTTGAATTTTAACAGAAAAAAGTGTGTTGTTTTCATTACAGATGTCACTGAAAGTTAAATGTGAAAACATTTAATGGCCGACTTGCCGAAGTGAGTATTGTGAAACATGAGGAGTCTAGACTTTAGTTTGGTTGAGTGACTTCCGCAGTCCTGGTACAGTTTTGCTGCAGAGGCTTGATCGGGGACTGGAAAGAATGCCAGCTAGCAGTGAGAACTTCTGGACAAAAGACCTAAAGTTGCAAACCTGTCATTCATGTATTCAGCCCACCTACAGAGTCTTCCCATTGCCCATTAAATTGCACTGTGTAAAGATTGGCTTAACCAACACAGCATATTCAGTCTGTCGTATTCAGAGTGTGTGGTGAATCCAGACTGCTGTCACTCTTAGAGCCCAGAAGTTCTTCTCTGCTGGGAAACGTCGTAGGTCTTGTCCTTGGCCATGGAGCAGCTTCCTAACGTCACCCCTCATACCTGACTGGGCTGCCCGGGAGCGCTGGGGCCTGCCGTGTGAAGTCTTCGTTTCTTCTCTGCAGGCGAGAAGGTTTTGGGATTCGCATTCAGTGGGACAAACAGAGCCGCCCTTCCTTCATAAACAGATGGAACCCCTGGTCCACCAATGTGCCCTACGCCACGTTCATAGAGCATCCGATGGCTGGTGCGGATGAGAAGACAGCCTCTCTGTGCCAAGTAAGAGCCGAAGAGCCGCGCCACCCGGCTACGATGGCGACGTCCTAGGTCTGCCCTGCTCACCACGGTGGCCACATGTGGCTGTGGGGCACTTCAGCTGCTCTTGTAAAACTGGGGAAACAAACTTCTAAATTTTAAAAGTTTTAGTTAGCTCATGTTGAAATAGTCCTGTGTGCCCAGTGGCTCCTGGTCAGTGTAGCTCTATGACATGGCCCCTTGCAGCCATGATTGCCTCGGAGAAGGGCCCAGCAGGGCTCTGGGCAGTCTATACTAGTTTACCAGGAGAGGACACCCTGGGGCCCACTTGCCAGCTGTGCACCTTGGCCTGCTTAGCTAGCCTGGTGGGTGGCGGAGGGATTAAGTAGGTCCCTACAGCAGAACTGCTCTGACCTGCAGAGGGCAAGGCTCTGTGAGGCTTGTCCTCTGTCCCCGTGAGCACAGGGCTAGGCCTGACATGTCCAGAGAACTACATCAAGAAGGTGAGCTAAGCGACTACAAGGATGTGGCGGGAAAGGCATCCCATCCAAGGGCAGTGACAGGGGCTGGTGCAGAAATGGGTGGGGTTTTTCCTGGTATAGATCACTGATCAGCAACATGTTTTCTCTCTCTTTTAAGTTGGAAAGCTTCAAAGCTATGTTAATCCAAGCTGTCAAAAAAGCCCAAAAAGAGAGTCCTTTGCCGGGACAAGCCAACGGTGTGCTGGTCTTGGAGCGTCCCCTCCTCATTGAGACCTACGTGGGATTGATGTCCTTCATTAACAACGAGGCTAAATTGGGTTATTCCATGACCAGAGGCAAAATAGGCTTCTAGACGCTGCCCACAGGCAGATCTGGGGACTCGGGGTGTCAGGCCAGCTCTGCTGCCCCTGGCAGGGTTGGGGCTGTTAACCTTTCGGGAATCTGAGCGTGATTAGAATAGTCCAATGAATTCTATACTCTAGCTGAATCTTGGACATCTGGTAATAGGAGCTACAGACAAAAAGCAAAATGAATCTAGCTGTCCCTGTCCTGGCCGGTATTCCATCTTCTAGAACCTGTTTCCGTGTTTTTCCTGGAGTGTCTGCATTTGGCTTTTCATGGTCCTTCCCAGCCCAGCACTCTAGCATGTTAATAAACGTGTGATCCCACTAGAACCTCCGTGCTAGCACTTCAACCGTGTAGATTGTTCCACCCAGGGAGGTCCCTAAACCCCAGTGCCTGTAGCTGCAAATACCTTTATACTTGGTGTCAAATTTTGTATTTTGAAATTTAATTCATTTTTTTAAAGCTAAATGCAAAACAACCCAGACTGTTGAACTAAAGGAGAGACAGTCTGCCTCGTCAGCTCCTGAATGAACAGCTGCTTTTGTGTAAATATGTTTGACCTAAAGTCACACTTTTTCTAAAATTATATTGTGTTAATACCTCTGGCATCTTTCCCAGGCCCAGAAGTTTGCAGGAAGTCATTTTTAGACAATTCATTAATTTGAGAGTCACCTTGATATTCTTTGCAAACAGTATGACAACTATGCCTAGTCTAGATTTGTATTCTCATACTCATATTTAAAATGGGGATTGCTTACTTTGCTTTTAAAGAATGCCCTTTTAAAAAAAGGGACCGTATTAGATTCTCATCTCCTATGCTGCTAACCCCTGGCCCGGTGACCGCAGCGCCCATGCAGACCGGAGGCTGTCAGCGTCGCCCTGACCGCGCCTGAGCCGTGGCGGCCCACAGAAGAGCATGTCCATGTGGGAACGGGGCACACTACCCATGCACCCACCCGTCCTCGGCTTGCTGGCTCGACCGGGAGCATTTGTCATCAGCTTGAAGTGCTGGCTCACAGGTTTCTTCCTCCATATTTACAACTCTGGTGTAGCTTTAGTCGGCATGGATGTGCTCCAGATGCAGCAGCCTATGAAAATCGAAAGGCTGCTTCCACACCACCTGGGTCTTGAGCCTTCGTTTTTGGTCTTGTAGTAAAGACATTTACAGTCGAACGGATGTCGTTCCTTCTTTGAAGCTGTTAGCTTTGTAAATCTGCCAACTTGCTGTGCACATTCGGGATCCTAAGGAGTTACTGTTCTGGTACAGTTCACTCACAGAAAAGCCCAGATAGTGGTGTACAAACTAGCCTTTAGCCAGGATGACGAGTCCAGGTTTGGAATCCTACTTCCTCCGCCGGCGCCTCTCAGTCCTGGCCGCTGTCAGGAGCACCTTAATTGAGAGGTGGATGGAACTGCTCTGGACAGAAGGCCAGGCCGTACTCCCTGCAGAGCCGACCTTGACCCAACGGCCTTGGGACCTGCATTCCCCCCTCCCCCCCATGTGGCACCACCCCTCACGGTGCTCAGGGCTCCCCTCCCTGCACTCCAGAACACAGCCCATGGGAAGCCCAAGCCCGTTCTCCAGAAACCTCCAGTGATGGGGAATGGAGTCTCCAGAGCAGAGCAGGACATCTGTCTGAGGGAGAAACGGGGTCAGTTACTTTATCAGAAAGTGAACCCAAAACCTGCAACAAACCCGACGGAGTCCTTCCCATGACCCAAACCTTTCACGAACACAAGCGTCAGCCATTTTATGAATTAGCAAATATTTATTTAAAAAAAAATTAGTTTCATACCATACATATTTACAAAAACGCTATAGAAAAATAACAGCAAATCATTCCCTCTGGGCCAGCTAGAGCAACTCCCCAGTGAAGCCCGTCCCTTCTCCACAGCCGGCACGTGCCAGGCATCCCGCCTGGTCTCACCCGGGCCTGGGTACACACAGGCCCTATGTGTGGTCACCGGGCCGGCCAAAGGCGGTGCCGACTCTCTCCCCGGTCTCCAGGAAACACAGACAGAAGTGGTCCTTACTGAGCAGAGCCAGTGAGTCCCCGCTGAAATGCCAGCACAGGGAAAGCACCTGAAAGTCACCTGGACAAAGACAGGCGGCCAGAGGGTTAAAGGTGAACGTGGCCCCACATCCCGCGGGCAGAGGACAGGCCTGGAGAGACCCAGCTACGGCCCCACCGCTCAGCTCGGGGGCCTCCTCACATGGCCTAGAAGCTGCGGGCGGCAGGACTGGGCTAGGTGTGCGTCCTGGGGGCCGGCCGTGACGCTTCCCCGAGGGTACGGGCCGCGACTCCCACCTCACGCTCGAGGCAGTGACGCAGTGAGCTCCCACGTCACGCGGGGCGGGCTCGGCCGCTGGGGTTCCGCCTACGGCCGCCCGCACAACACAGAACCCTGCGCTCACCTTCCCCCGGCACCTGCACCGACACGCAGCCCGCCGGCGACCACAGGTACACCTTGCTGCCTCCCGTGCAGATGGCCAGCCGGGGCTGCTGGGGGTCCCACTGGAAGGAGCGCACCGGGCACAGCTGCTCGAGCACCACAAAGAGTCGCAGCTTCTGTATGTCCCAGATCCAGACGGCGTTCGGGACGCTGTCTGAGGAGGAGAGACGTGGATGGGCCCTGGCGTCGTCGCGGCGCACGAAGGGCAGCCCCGACCCGCGGGCGCCACACTCCCCCCCCGCCCCCGGGCTCAGGGCCGCAGGCAGGCCTGACCACTGCTGAAAACCTGTCCAGAGCGGGCCCGCCGGGGTGGCGGCCGCCCCTGTTCCTTAGCAGCGTCGACCTCCGACTGCCCTGCCCGACCGGGCTGCGCCTCCGCAAGCTTCCGCGGCACGGCGACCCGGCACCAGACGGGGGCACGCGGCGCTCCGGGCAGCCCGGTACCTGGCTTCCTCCTCCCAGGGTCTGGGCGCCGGGGCGCAAAGGAAAGCGTGAGCGGGCCCGCAGCCACTGACCGCTCCTCGTCGCCAGGAAGTAGTTGTCCGGGCTGAAGGCGAGCGCGCCCACGCCGATTCTCGGGTTCGCTCGGTCAGCGACGGGCTTCACGGCCTGCAAGGACACTGGCGCCGAGGCGACCTCGTCTGCAACATCGAGGGGCGGACGCTGCGGGCAGTCGCGGGGCGCGCGTGGGCGACGCCGCGTGCGCGCGCGGGGCAAACGCTCGGCAATCGGGGCGGGGTCCCGCGGCGGGGCGCCCGCACGCGCGGGGCAGGGGCGTGCGGGAACTCCGCCTTGCCCTCCGTTTCGCCGTACGCCCCAAACTGCTCTACAAGAAAGCCTCCAACCACATCATAGAACCAGCAGCAAAAGGGTCAGAGGAGGACGAAGGCCAGGCAGGCAGCTGTGCTCGCTGTGTCCAGGCTGCCCCACCGGGGGTGCGGACGCCGCCCGGCCTGCTGGCTGCTCCCGGCCCCCCTCTATCCTCAAGCCCGCGGGACGCCCTCGCTGCGCCCGCTGAACCGACGCGGGGACTGAAGCGCAGCCAGCGGCCGGGACCCACAAGCAGCTCGGCAGCGCCAGGCCAGGCCCCTGACTGCTCCCACCCCCTTGGCTGACCCGAGGGCACTCCACCATTCCTTAAAGAAATCACCCGCAGAGCACCGCCTGTCAGATTGGGATTCGCAGCGCTTCAATGCAATCAACAAACATTGCCCCTGCTCTCCTGATCCGCGGGTGGAGGGACACGGCTGGGAGGTGTTACAGGAAAGGGAAAGTGTGTACCTAAAAAAACCAATGTCTGGGGACGCCTGCGTGGCTGGGTTGGTTAAGCGTCTGCCTTCGGCTCAGGTCATGATCTCAGGGTCCTGGGTTCAAGCCCCGCGTCTGGCTCCCTGCTCAGCGGGGAGCCTGCTTCTCCCTCTGCCCCTCCCCTGTGCATGTGCTCACACTTTCTCTCTCGCAAATAAAAAAAAAAAAAGAACATCTGAACTCTACCTGGACAAGTGGGATTCTCTCATAAAAAAGAAAAGGAGAACAAAGTGAATGACCCCCGCCCTCTGCGCTCACATTTGCTCTCCGTGGTGGAGGCTGGGCCGGCCGCTGCTCTGGGCGGGGGGAAGGCAAGGCGGCCCAGTGCCAGCCGCGGATTCTTCTCAGCTTCCTTATACACGACCTGGAACACACGACAACCACCCCGCTCAGGACAGGTGGGAGCAGAGGCGGTGACAGCACCAGGCAACAGTGACGCCTGACCTCATGGCAAGGCGTGCCGTTCCCGGTGACAGGACAGAGACGCTGGCCCAGCAACACCCGCTCCCTCGTGGGCGTTCTTAGCGCCCTCAGGGTGTGCTGGCGGCATATAAACCTGCATCACGCGACCGGCCACTCGGCAGGTAACGGACACAGGCCCAGGGAACGAGGGGGCATCTGTGGCCTGAAGCCTGACAGACCTGTGCCCGAGGTGACGGAGCCCCCGCCCGCCCTACAGCTTTAGAGGGCGCTGGGGCTGCAGGCTGGAAGGGCCTGCAGCACTCTCCCAGGCCTGTATGGCCGGCCTGCTTGGACTTGGCCTCCTACAACCTCCTTGCCTGCACCTCCAGCCCAGTCCTTCCTCAGGACCTCCGCCTGAGCCTGACTTCCCCAGGTACCCCTCCCGGCCTTCCTTCCGTCTCTACTCATGTTTCTCATCCGTGGGCAAGCTCCCCAAGGCCAGGGTCTGTCTGTCCCCTGCTGTGCTGCCCCCGCTCCCAGCGCCTGCCTCAGGATCTTTGCACTTCTTGTCCCCGCTGCCTGAACAGCTTCTCCCTCAGATCCTGTATCACTTCTTCCCGGCATCTGACCCCGTGATCCCTCAGCAGGCCGCCTGTCCCTGCCTGCCCCAGGGACACCCACTGCGTACTTTTTGGTCTGCTTCTCCAGCCCCAGATGCTCAGTGCTTGCAGGCAGGAGACCCTGGTTACTGTGCCGAGAGCAGGGGCAGATCTGAGACATCTGGGGAGGGGGAGGGATAGGGCAGGGACACTGCTTCCAATCCTCTGAAATGTTACAGTGACAGAAGTTTCTAGTGATGTAAGTACCTACATCACAACCAATACGTAAAGTGAAAAAGCGGTATTTTTCTACCTCCCTTCCCCAAATATTGCTCTGAGGGCAGCACGTATTCCAGACTTACTATTTTGGGATTATTCACGGTCGCTGGATGCCCAAACTCTGTGATCATTTTCCAAGTCACGTGATTAAGAATGCGCACCTGAGGAGAGAAAGTGCGCGTGGGAGCCCGGTCCGCGCTGTGCCCCGGGTCACCGCGTGCGCTGCTCTGTCCTCACCTTCCCGTCATAGCTTCCGACCGCCAGGAACTGGCTGCTGGGGCTCCAGG